CCACCAAGCAACAATGATGTTGACCAGCTCCAGTTATAAGGAAAAGCAATCTACATTTGTCACTAATTTCAGATGCCTCCATCAAAGAAACTATCAAACTCTTAGAAAATCGAATTCAGCTTACCTTGAGGGCAGCTCCAAGAAAAAAAGTGGAAATAAGCACGCCAGGCCCAGCAAGTAAAAGCATCTGTACTGCACACCTCTGCATTAGGAGAATAACTGGTTTAGTTAACTAATAGAGGTAAAATCCAGCTTGACAAATTCAATGAATCATAGGATGTAAAAAGAATAGAAAGATACTATTGCAGAAGGCAAATTGTGTAAAGCCAAATGCCATAATATAATTAGTGACTGGGAGCTCCTCCCACTAGTGTTCTAACTCAGCCACCTCTTCTTCTGGAGTTTGCTTATGGAAATACATAAGAGCGCGCTTTCGGAAGAGCTCTTTTTTTGGTTACAGCATCCAGCTTAGGCTACGGAAGGAAAATACAGTTCTGGCAAGATGCATGGTTAGGCACACCCCCCTATGAGATGAATTTCAAGATTTGTTCCACATGATGCAAAATACTGGAGACACAGAAGCTCAATGCATGACCAAAAATTGATGGGAAGAAAAACTTAGAAGAATTCTAACAGATTGACAGACGGGCAGCATCAAGGAATTAATAGAGAAGCTTGGACCAGTACAGTCATTTATGTAATAAACCAGATTGCTTGTGCTGGAAAGTAGGTGAAAAGGGGGCTTTCACAATCCAATCTTGTTATCTGTCCTTAGTTTCGTCAGGGGAGAGACAGAATGGTTAGTTTCATCAGGGGAGAGCCAGAACAGTTTCTCATGACAGCACCTATGGAAGATCAACACACCATTAAAAGCACGGTTCATGTGAGCAGCTTTACGCAGTGGCTGTCTCACACAAGGAAACCTACAGAAAAGAGAAATCATCCTACATAATAGATGCTATTTGTGTGCAGTGAATCTGAAGACATAGACCATATCTTCCAACATTGCCACCTAGTACTCCATTTAAGGTACATGTTCCTCTCCTTTAGGTGAAAGTGGCACCACCCCAGCATGTATGTTATGGGTGTTATGAGAGAAAAAAACTGCAGCAATAAGGACGCATTTCATGTACTTAAATGTAGGTGTTTGTAGCTACTAGCATTTTGGACAAATTGAAGGATTATACAATTTATACACTTTCTGAGTTCATGCCTTCTATCCAGAAATTGTAGGGGGAAATTCAAACCATTTTTGTAAATTGCAGCCTTTTCTGTGTATGAAGCATTCCCTCAATGCTACATCTTATTCAATAAAATTATTACTCATCAAAAATATATTGTATCTATAGTCTTTAGAAAACGCTCAGTGCCAGCAGATCAATACTTGGTGAGCAATTAAAGATGAAAGCATCTAACTGTAAAGGATCCGCAAGATATTAGGTTGTAAAAAATGAAGAAGACGTAATACATGACATTTATAAGAGAAGAATAGCATAAACTATGTGATAAACAACCATATGAACGAAACAAATAATGCAAGCAAGAAGGTAGACGTTGAAAGTGCACAAGCATAACAACATACAGATGTGAATACATGGAAAAGAAAAATCATCACTTGGAGCTCTCCATAGTATTAGCATTCTACGAGCAGTAGAAAAGAGGAAGGCTAGTGGTAATGTACCTTTATCTGGTGAATTTCCATTGAGAAAGCACTCTCGAAAAGAAGAGCAGGAAGGAAAACCGCCAACAAAAGATCAGGATCAATGTTTGCCCCTGTGCAGATACCAAATATGGTTTACCACGAGCAGTCATTTGAGAGCAGAACAATTGACTGGTGGTATACTTGTGAATGGGGTTTCTAGTTGATATTGGACAGAGGGAAACTTGATTTGAACTTAATGGATACTTAATGAAGAAAGATAAAGAATTGAACTTACAGATACGGATACCATCGCCAATCCTTCCCAACCCATGATGTGTTCCATACTCTGCGGGGTAATTTATTATGTATATATCAATATCAGCATTCAAATACATCATGTGAGAGACTGCTTAGTAGTTCAACCAACTCTAAAATGTACGTTTTTTTACTTCACAAGTTTGTTGGCACCTAAAGCAAAGGTGCATAATTTTATATGTTAGACAGATCAATAATATAAGTGTCATTTCCATCTCGAGCTGGTAGCAGATGCTCTAGAAGACGTCCAAAAATCAAATTCTAGAAAGAGGAAAAGAATACTAACACGGAGTTAAGCAATTAGAAATTGAAGCTAACATTTCAAACTTACCCCAGAACAAATAAGACAGTAGGCTTGAGCTGCAGAGATGGAAGGCAAAATTAGTGGATGAAAGGAGAAGCTAAGGAAAATCAAAAGTTAAGGATGTTTGTTATGAAGGGGCTTTCGAGAGATACAGAGAAGTGTAAAGGATAACAAAGTAAAATATTTGGTCAAACTAAAATAGCTTTTAAGCTAAAAAAACACAAGGGGTTGCCCAGCTTATAGCTTTTGGTTTGTTTTTATCTATAAAGCACTTGGACTAAAGCACGTTTGGTGTTCACCAAACACCCAAATAAACAAAAAAAAGTGCTTAACCCAAACATCCTCTAAGTTCCCTCTCTAAAACTAAGTTTTTAGATGAGATTTTTATTTCATTCATCTGTAAAAGATTGTGGGAGAAGGAAATAACGATAAGGCCCCATTACGAATGGAGAAACATTTTATGTATTTTATTCAAAGAGTAAGAGGTAATGTTTATACATTCAACACAACTCCACTTATATGTAAAGTGTAGCTGGACCCAATTGCAAGGAGGGTTGCGCTAGATGGACAGCCTACATAAAAAATAGCCAAAGGAACCATTTAAATCCTCCAAATACAGACAACTCATATACTCGGCCCAAACTAGTTTGGATCACAGGGTAGTTGAGTTTGACAAAACATGAAGGAATTCCCCAAATTAACTCAGTTAGATCATACAAAAAATAAACAGATAAATACACAATAACAATAAACAGGAAGAATTAGAGTAAGAAGAAGAATCTCTCGGGGCTGGATAAACATGAAGCTAAGTGGTACCTTCAAATACCAAATCATAATAAAGCTCTGCATAATATTTGTAAAGAAATTAAGCTAGCGTTGGTGGAGTAAATTTTAAAAATTTATCTTCAAATATCTATATGACCATGAAACTCGATCGGATTTTGATCTTTGAATAGTTTCAAGTTCTCAAAAACTGAGTCCGACCAGTTTTTGGATTTTTGTGACTTCCATTCAGAAAACTTGATTTTTTTTTCCTAACATAACTTCAAGTTCCAAAAACCACAACTTCAAAAATTCAAATTTTCAAGTTAAGATCTGTGATCATACGGAAGCTTATAAGGGTGTATGAAAAACTAAGTCTTTACTAATATTTCGGAAAGAAATTATTTTTATATTCAAATATCTATTCGTCTATGAAATTTAATCATATTTTAAACCTCTGATCTTCAAATATGTTCAAGTTCCCAAAAACAACCAGCTCAAACCAGTTTTAGCCCCTTTTTGGATCTTTGGTACTTTCACTCACAAAACATCAAAAACTCAAATTTTCAAAGTTCAAAATCTAGGATCAAACAAGAGCTTAAAAGGGTGTCTTAAAAACTCAAACTTTCACCATTCTGTACAAGCACAAGCACAATAATATTATAATAACAGAGAGAAAAAATAAAGAAAGAAGAGTTGACAAACCTAAAGCCCCAAGTCCAATACCAAGAACAAGCAAAGCAACAGAGTAAGGTACCCTAGTACCCCTCAACAAATGTCTACAACCAATTCCCAATAACAAACTGATTCCAACAAAAATGACAGCATTTGTAGGATCTGAACCTGAACTTTCAGCTGAAATTGACTCTTCTACTACTCTAAACGGCCTCGTTTCTACTAACAACTCCATTATTTGCTTCACAAACAATAATCGAATATCAGTGGCAAATTCAATGAATTTTAGTGTGTTTTGAAAGAGGGACAAGGTTGACTATGAATGCAACAATACCATCAAGTTCAAATTAAACGCACTGTACAAGATGCTATCATTTTTGGTTGTCTAGTGTACTATGATTCCTTCAATTTTTGTATTTTTTTAAGTAAGTAAAGTAATCACTATGATTATGACGAGAGAGACGAGCGAGATAGCAAAAAGTCGAATAATAGAGTGTATTTTAGATACATACAAATCATGTTTGTGTATAGTATTTTTGAAATAAATTATAATTAATTTCGTGTAAATATATATTTGAGATATATGTATCTAAAGAAAATAAATATATAAATTTAGTGAAAAAATAATAATATAAGAAGTAATTTTCTAAATTGATATGATCACGTATAGTTAGGATCCGAATAAAGTGAGATTGTGTTGCTTGTTCTTCTTTTTCCCCTCCAAAAATGCTTTTGGAATATTTATTAAGCACAAATTTGATAAAGTAATCTTTTTTCTTTAAGGAATTTAAGTTTTTCACTTTGTTGTTGTAGGGATAATAACATATTTTTTTCAGAATTTACAAAGTCAATAAAATTCATTTTTCTCACGAAAATAAAGTTATGTTTTGTAGTAAGTAATAAAATAAAAAGGGAATAATGTTAATTAAATTTTATTTAGGAGGACATACAATATTTATAACACCCGTAGAAAAAAAAAAGACATTTTCTAACGTATTACTTCAATTCGAAATCTCTTATGCTATCTATTTCAATTTATATGATTATTTTCAATTTTTAGTTAATTTTAAAAAAATAAAAAATATATTACATTCCATATCAAATTAAATAAAATAAAATATTTATCACTCTGTGAGCAGCGGTGGCAGGACCGCCTTTGTTTGCTTCCTCTGTGTTGTATTCTATTTTGCCACTCCTTAACGCAGTCTATGATAGCTCCGTTCACGTTTCTCAAAGCTAAAAAAAGTTGTCATTAGCTACTAATTTTTCTTAATTAACCACTTCAAGTAAGCATTTTTATTCTTTCCCTAGTAATTTGATACTATTTCTTACCTGGGTTCTTGATAATTTGATGATATAGCAGCTTTTCTTTATTGGGTATTTCGATTCTTGATTTCCCAATTGTTGATTCATGTGAAAGAATGGTTTTTTATTTGTTCAATTTTTGCCTCTCAAGTGTTTTTTTAGCTGTGGCTTTTGAGCCTGTGATTGAAATGAAAAAAAGGTCAACTTTAAATAAACACTAATTAGTAGATTTTGCAGTGTTATGTGATGGGTGGGGGTTTGATTCTTGATTATCTAATTGTTGATTCTTGTGAAAGAATGGTGTTTGTTTTTCAATTTTTGCTGAAAGTGTTTTAGCTGTTTTGGAAATTAAAAAAAGGGGCAACTTTAAACAAACACAAGTTAGTATTTATGCTATGTTGCTCGGACTCTTCAAAAATGTTATCGGGTGCGTGTTGGATTCTTGAAAAGTAGTGCATTTTTGGAGGATCCGACATGGATGTGGCAACATTTTTGGAGAGTGCGAGCAATTTGTTAAGGTTTATGTCTATAGTTTGCTGATTTGGCAGTACTATATGATGGGTGGGTTTGATTCTTGATTTTATAATTGTTGATTCTTGTGAAAGAATGGTGTTTGTTTTTGAATTTTTGCTAAAAGTGTTCTAGCTGTGTTTGAAATTAAAAAGGTAAGCTTTGAACAAACAGTAGTTAGTATTTATGCTAAGGTTTATGTATAATTTACTGATTTGGCAGTCCTATAACTATATGTTGGGTGGGTTTGGTTTTTGATTATCTAATTGTTGATTCTTGTGAAAGACCCCTTTTCCCCCAATGTGTACTAAATCTGTTGCTACACTTGTTTTTTGACATTTGCTATTTTTGTTGTCTCTTTTTCTTTGCATCAACTAATTTCTTTAGAGTCGAGAGTCTATCGGAAACAACTTCTCCACCCTTCGAAGGTAGAGGTAAGGTCGCGTACATCCTACCCTCTCCCGACCACACTTGTAATACACCGAGTATATTGTTGTTGTTGATTCTCGTGAAAGAATGAGTGATTCAAATAGAGGAGGAGGAGGGTCAGTTCAATTCTACATGCCTTTTTTAATTAACATAACGGTAACTGATATGGAAGTGTGAAGGTGTACTAGACTACTAGTCAAATATTAAATAGAGGACTCACTAGGGAATCCATTGCGTAGCCATTTAAGGAGTAAGGGAGGCAGAAATCATCTACTAGTTTGTGTAGTTGACATGGGAACTGACCACTTCTGGGCTCCTCAGTGGGGGACTTGGATTAGTGGCGGGGTAGAGAAGGATGTCTTTGGGGAAATCTATCAAGTGAGAGAGGTTGACTAGATTTCAGGAAAACATTAGGTTTGATTTAATTTTTTGGTTGTTTTATAGCTCTTTGTGAGAAGGTCTACGTGCTCTTTAGATGGGTAAGGTTTTCACAGTGGACATGTTTGGTAGTTCAACTGTTATCCTTCTTCTATCTCAACTAATCTTTGCTTCCTGATATATCTTCATTTGTTAATGGGGTTTCTATTTATCGCTGTAGGATCCCCACAACAAATCACATGGACGTCTTCTATCGTACCATACCCCCCACATAATAGAGATTCTGAGTTCTCTTTACTAATTCATGGAATAGTGTCCTATTTAGTTTAGAGATTTAGTGACTAGACCAGTGTAGCTGGGTAATGTGTTGAGGGCATCTACATATAGACCTTTTGTTCTCCTTTTCTGTGCATTGTCTTCTAGTCAGTTTACTTTAGCAAGCATGGAGAACTACTTTGTCAAAAATCTATAAGAAGACCTAAACGACATTTATGTGGTTAAATAAAAAACAAAGGTTTTGGGAAACTAATGTTATCTGCAGTTCTGGGCCCACAAACTAGATTAGTGTGCATGGCTTCCTTTATACCAGTGAAAGAATGACTGGAAAAAATTTTGGGATTTGATCTCCAAAATGACTTCCTCCGAATAACCTGTTCTCAGGGACACTATGTAGGAGTGTCAAAAGACGATGGGTGTGCTGAACTTAGAACTTTGAAATTATATATGGTTTATAGAAGAAATATGCCACTACTAGCTCTCTTTATTTAATCTGTAGAGCCTAAGTTTAGTCTTAGATTGAAACTACTGTTTATTACTATTTTACTACTGAAAGTTATCTGTAAAAAGCTTAAAGCTTTCTAGTCACATCAATATTCTTTTTATTGTTCCTTCTATATGATATATTTCGATGAGTCAATTACAAAAATAACAGGATCACATATTTATGATGTATTTAGAACTTTACTGCATATAAAAGGTGATGAACGGAATGTCCTACATTGGTGAATGAATGGATAAAGCTTTGGGCAATTCTCCTCCCTTTGAGCTAACTTTTGGGGTTGAGTTAGGCCCAAGAACCATTTCTTTAAAAAAAGAGTATCATAGGTTAAATTGTTCTTCCTAAAAGAAACACTATTTCCATTGTGTTAGAAAAGTTGCTTGAGGAATTGAATAATTCAGTTTTATTTACTGGTGGAAGTTCCTGTAACATGCAATGCAAGTTGTGGGTGTTGATCTCATTCTCTTTTTTGTTTTTTGGTCTTTGCCTTCTTAGCTGAGAAAATGGCTAAAGAGATCAAAGGATCTCCTTTGGCAGCCTCTTTCGATTATGAGCTTTATGAAGGAGATCCTGATCATCTTAGAACTGTTGTTGCTGCACCTTCCCCAGCCGGTTCGTACATTGATCCTGCTTCAATCAAACTTAAACATAGGATCGGGCGTGGATACTTTGGTGATGTTTGGTCAGCCACACATCATCAATCAGCTACTGATTATGATGAGCATCATGAAGTAGCTGTAAAAAGGTTACATCCTATAAATGAAGATCAGGTAAAGGCTTTCTTAAGTAAGTTCGAGGAGTTATGGGTGAAGTTGAAGTCTAAACAAATCCAAGGTGTTTGTTGGCTGCATGGTATCACTGTAATATCTGGAAAGGTGAAATTCTGTCTGCATAATTTTGCTTAGCTCTATATGGGGCCTTACAATTTGTTTATTGTTCTTGAAGAAAATGACAAAAATGGCCCTTTATTTTTTAGGGTAGGTTTAAAATTGTCCCTTAAGTATGCACTGAACAATTTTTGTCCTTTAAATTTGCCAAAAGTTAACACTGTTAGTCTCCGTCAGATATTTAACAATTTATATTTGCTATATTTGATGGAAATAGTGTAAAACAAGATTTTGCGATAAACACGAAGAAAGTCCTATCAAATCCTAAAATATACAACTTAGAAATTGCACTAGACACTAAAAATATAAAAATTTAGCAGAAATTACATCTCAAAAAGTTGCACCAGATTCTAAAAATGAATAATAAATAGCATAAACTACAAAATCTATACCTCTAAATGTGAGTTCCTGCTAATTTCCTTTTTTTTCATAGTTCCCTTCAAATCTGTCAGACAAGAATTTGGTAAATATTTGACGGAGACTAAAACTGTTGATCTTTGGCAGCAGACTTGAAGGACTAAAACCTTTCAGTGCATACTTAAGGGACTAATCTAATCTTAAATATAAGGGACTCCTTTTTTCATTTTCTCATTGTTCTTACTTTCTGAGTAATGTTTCTGTGGATAGATCTGTATAGTTATGAGATCCTATGAGGGGTCAGTTGGTGATAAAATGGCTCGTCTGAAAAGAGGGAAGCTTCAGTTACCTGATGTGCTTAGGTAATAAACTTAAACTCCCTCTGTGTCAGTTTGTTTGTCTAATTCTTACTTGACACGGAATTTAAGAAAGTAATAGAGACTTTTGAATCTTGTGGTTTTAAACCAAAGATATGTCGAATGTAGCAAAATGTCCTTTAATCTTTGCGGTCTTAAACATATGTTGAAAGTTAGAATAGAAGAGTTGCCAAAAAAGAAAAGAGCTATTCTTTTTGAAATGGACAAAAAAGGGAAGTAAGACAAACAAATTGAAACAGAGGGAGTATTATTATCAGCAAGCTAAAAGTTCTCATTATAAGGCAAACAAATTGAAACAGAGGGAGTATTATTATCAGCAAGCTAAAAGTTCTCATTATGAAATTGGCACTTGTTAATACAGAATGCTCATGTCTTACAGATATGGTATTGAATTGGCTAAAGTAATACAAGAATTGCATTCAATGAATGTCCTGGTTCTGAACCTTAAGCCAACTAATTTTCTTCTGAACGAACATGATGAAGTGTTCCTCGGAGACTTTGGTATACCGTATCTTCTTCTTGGAGTTCAACCGCCTGATTCAGATCTAGCATTAAGGCGTGGAACTCCGAATTACATGGCTCCGGAACAGTGGGAACCTGAGGTTAGAGGCCCAATAACTTGTGAGACTGATGCTTGGGGATTTGGATGCAGCATTATTGAGATGTTGACTGGTGTTCAGCCCTGGTTTGGTAAATCAGTCCATGATATCTACCGTTCAGTGGTGATAAACCAAGAAAAGCCACAACTTCCTGGTGGCCTCCCCACTTCTATTGAGAATGTTCTCAATGGCTGTTTTGAGTATGATCTCCGCAATCGACCTCTGATGGTGGACATTTTGCAAGCATTTGAAAGGTTTTCTCTCTCCCCTCTCTCTCTCTCTCTATATATATATATATATATATGTATATCCCCCACCGCAGAAAATGACAAAAATGGTCCCTTATCTTTGTAGTAGGTTCAAAATAGTCCCTTAAGTATCATCTAATCTTTTTGTCTCTCTCTCATATATATATATATATATATATATATACACACGTCCCCACCCGAGAAAATGATAAAAATGGCCCCTTATCTTTGTAGTAGGTTAAAAATAGTCCCTTAAGTATCATCTAAGCAATTTTGGTCCTCCTTTAAGTTTGCCAAAAAACTAGCACTTCTGTTCTATGACAGAATTATGATTGCGGTGCTCATCTATCCCTCGCCTGCTTACATCAGTTTTTTATGTTATTTAAATTAGGACACAAAAGCTTTGAGTTTGAATATTTCTCTTCTTTCTTATTTCGACTTGATTACTGATTCCTAACACACTGACTATTTCCCTTGACCTGTTGCCACATCTTTTTATTAGTCTTAGCCTGGAGCCCCATATCCTATTGGGCAACCCTCTCAATTTTTTTAATTTTTTTTGCATTTCTAGCCTTTTGGGTGATTGATGTGTAGTAACTTAATGTGGAGGTGTAACTTTAATTATGAAGCCTATTGTCTGCTTTTGTGTAAGTTTGAGTATCGGAGAAATTAGTATTATGCACGTTAAATGTGAATTGGTGTGTAGAACGGTCAACATAAATTTGGATTGAACTGTTATGTATGGAACCAAAATTGATTTGCAGCATAGGTCATGTGTAAATTTGGTGAAGATCTTATCCGGAAATGCATATAATTTGGTAAAGAACTGTTTAGGAGTTGATTCTTTATTTCCCCTCTATGACATGGAAGTGAAAATGATTAGGGATAAGTTCATTAGCGTAGAAATGTCCTAGTTAGATGGTTGTTGAGTTGCCTTTGTCTACCGATGCCAATTTAGTCACATGTAATATCCAGTGTTATCAAAAGCAAAAAACGCAAAAAAAACACTAAGGTCCGTTGGGGCTTTAAGCACAAAGGAAAAATGAAGTGTAGGCTGTAATGAAAAAAGGTGCCAAGGGAGAAAAAAATGCAAAAAGATAATATGTTTAGTCCATGACCAATAATTATAAGCATGAATGACAAATATATGAATAAAGAAACTAATCTTTTTTAATGATAAAATGAAATATCAATTCTTTAGTGTCCGCCTCTTCAGAAGAGGCTGATTGGCAAGGAAAAATATGCCTTAGAACCTTGATGACGACGCTGAAGCGACATTAAGCAAGGTGAAGCGCTCAACATGTTTTGAGCCTTCCTTCAAGCTTATGTGCGCTGTTGGCAACACTGGTAATAACCTGACTTGCAATCTTTGATTAACTAGTGAATTCCTCTTATCATGTGAATAGACAGCCTACAAAGATCACTTATGAACCAGGAGGTTGGCGCTAGATTTTTTTATATGAATTAATGAATATGTCTTCGCGGTAAACTTCTCATAAATTTTATTGCACCTTTGGCAGCTCGAAGAATGCTGTTTATGGTGAAGGAGAGGGGATCGACATAGGAGGAACTCTGTCTGACAAAAGCAAAACCTGTGGCTTTACCACATGGTTCCTTTCAAAAGATCTTCTTCAAGTGGGAGATACTATTCGCTCCAGAAAGATGTTCAACTCCAGAAATTCTCAAGATTTGGCTGTGTTGGAAGGAAGTGTTGTTGGTCTCGAGAAAGATACTGATCGAGATGGATTTGTTCTGGTACGAGTCCCCAATTTACGGAGCCCTCTTAGGGTAAATGCATCAACCATAGAGAGGGTTACATGTGGTTTGGCAACTGGGGATTGGGTGCGCTTGGTCAATGAAAGTAAGAATCACTTCTCTGTGGGTATCTTACACTCCGTGCAGCGTGATGGAAGCATCACTGTTGGTATTTTAGGCTTGGAAACATTATGGAGAGGACATTCTTCTGAAGTCGAAAAAGTTGACCCATATTTACTGGGACAATTCGTGCAATTGAAATCAAATGTTGAAACTCCCCGGTTTGAATGGCCTAAGAAATGGGGAGGAGGATGGGCTACTGGGAGAATATCACAGATACTTCCAAATGGTTGTCTTGTCGTTCAATTTCCAGGGAGGTTGGTATTCGGTGATGAACCTAACACTTTCTTGGCTGATCCAGATGAGATGATCGAAGTATCATTTGATACATGTCCTGGCATTATCAAAAAGTATCAGCACCTCGAGGATTTTCACTGGTGTATTCGACCACTTTCTATTGTGTTTAGCCTACTTACAGCAGCAAAGCTTGGTGTATCTGTAGGAAAGTGCATTAATGCGAAGCTGAAGAAGGACTCGAAGGATCATCGTACTAAGGATGGTGAGGTTGGTGGCAAGCCAGCCTGGCTTCGGCCAAATATCCTGTTTAAAGAAGGTGCTGCTACTGCTAGGTAATCTGTACTTGTTGGTAAAAAATGAGTAAATTTCGTAGCGTATTTTCGAAGTACAGTAGCACAAGACTTTGTATCATATGGAACTAAACTTTTTATTATGATGAATTTGTGATATGTATGTACATATTTTGTTAATGCAAAGCTCCGCAGATATCAGAAATATAGTCTCTATTGTAATCAAAAGGGAAAAGCAGCAAAGTATAGATTGTAGAGTACTACTCTCACTTGAATCCAAAGTATATTATACTGACATGTGATTAAGCCGTGGAACACCCTTTTGGTTCGACCCTTTTCCAGACTATATGTATAAGGTGAGCTTAGTGCTATCAGTATAGATAATACAAATTTTTAAAAAATAAAATAAAATTCTGTGTCTCAATTTATATTATGTGACTTTTTTTAATTAGTTACTTCAAACTTCTTTGTACCCTTGTGTGTCAGTTTATAGCTACATAAATATTTATGGCTTGTTTTATATAAAGTTTTAAATGTTTTTTTTTTTTTAAATTCTTGAACTTTTTGCTTAATCAACATTTATTCATAAACTGGTGTTCGGTGCTTGTTTTGGACCTCAACTAATCTGAATTTCCATAGAACAAGACTCATTAAATGAAAAAAAACGCTTCTTATTAGGATAATTTAATGTACTCCAAGGACTCAAACTCGAGAAATCTTGTTCATCTCATCAAAAAATTTGATACACATTATATCATTTTTTAATTTTATTTTATTTGTGTTTTTTTTTTCTGTAATTACTCATTCCACCCAATTGGGTGAACAGTTACAACATAAAGACCAAAAATATTGCCACTTCTAACAGAAAAAAAAACAGAGATAAGAATAAAAGAATTGGACCACTAATAAGTCCCAACATTAGAGTAAAAAAGAATATATATTTCCTATAACTTAAATAATAGTGACAATACTTCCTACTATTATTGGTGAATGTAAATAACAAACTTATTCACCATATTTGGAATCATATTGGAGAATAAATTCTCAACAAATATTGTAATAATTTGAAGCATGCCCCAAGTAATTGAAAAGTTTCAAATGTACCCTTAAATAATTAAAAAGGTCCAACACTATCAGAAATAAAGATTTTTTCAACAGCAAATCAATGAAAAATATGTGTTACATCGAACCAATTCACTAAGAAATGGATGATGAAAAACACATTTGCATTGAAATTTTCAGAATAATCATTGAACATTTTTCGATGGGAATAGTGTAAGTATATCCCCATTGAAATTTGTTTTAGTTACTGTAGTCATTCTTTAGCATAATAAGTTACTGGTTTTAGAATGAACTTAAATTTTAAATTTCTATTAGATTTTGATTAGTTTGTTAGAATAGTTTACTTTTCTTTTGTCTTCTTTTTGAAATTTTAATTATGTAGATTTTTTTTCTTGAACTTTTTGCTTAATCAACATTTATTCATAAACTGGTGTTCAGTGCTTATTTTGAACCTCAACTAATCTGAATTTCCATAGAACAAGACTCATTAAATGAAAAAAAACGCTTCTTATTAGGATTAATTTAATGCACTCCAAGGACTCAAACTCGAGAAATCTTATTCATCTCATCAAAATATTTGATAGGCACATTATATCTATTTTTTAATTATTTTTTTTTGTAATTACTCATTCCACCCAATTTGGTGAACGGTTACAACATACAGACCAAAAATATTGCCACTTCTAACAGAAAAAAAGAGAGATAAGAATAAAAGCATTGGACCACTAATAAGTCACAACATTAGAGTAAAAAAGAATATATACTTCCTATAACTTAAACAATAGTGATAATACTTCCTACTATTATTGGTGAATGTAAATAACAAACTTATTCACCATATTTGGAATCATGTTGGAGAATATATTCTCAACAAATATTGTAATAATTTGAAGCATGCCCCAAGTAATTGAAAAGTTTCAAATGTACCCTTAAATAATTAAAAAGGTCCAACACTACTAGAAATACATATTTTTTCAACTGTAAATCAATAAAAATTTTGTGTTATACATATGATTAATTTCACATTCTATTTTTACTGAAAAACGCATGACGAGAAACAGATTTGCATTGAAATATTGAGAATAACCATTGAACATTTTTCGATGGGAATATTGAAATTTATTTTAGTTACTGCAGTCATTTCTTTAGCATAATAAGTTACTGGTTTTAGGATGAACTTAAATTTTAAATTTCTATTAGATTTTGATTAGTTTGTTGAATTCGTTTATTTTTCTTTTGTCTTCTTTTTGAAATTTTAAATCATGCAGATTTTTTTTTCCGTTCCCTCTATGCTTAATAAAAATACTAAGAGACATTTTCAATTAATACTTTCAATCTTTTTATCGCACCATTTATAAAAAACAACAACAAGCGAGGGGTTTATTTGAACCTTTTTTAATTGTTTTAGGATATATTTGAAACAAAAGATAACATTGAAAACTTCTATTAACAGACAAATTAACAAAGGACATATATTATATAAGACAAATCACAAACTAATAAACCATCATGCACACGTTCAATAATTTTCTTCTTTTTTACCAAAAAATAAAAAATAAAAAATATTCTTCTTCTTCACTTAATTTCTTCTTTGTATTTCTCAAGAATTATTAATTAAGTTAACCTTCATCTTGATTGGTTAATTAATTAAATTCCTTGATGAAGAAAGTGCATGTTATTTTGTCAATTTGCATGCTAATCCTTTTAATTATTTTTCGTATTTTTATTATCCAAGATTACAATGCCTTTGATGATCATTTCTATAAACATGGAGATCATGTCCGTCTTTCTGCTAGTAAGATTGGCCCTTTTCACAATCCCAGGTACATTTTTATTTTTTTTGCAACATTTTACCCTTCCTCGAATCCGCGTGAACGTTTAGTGGCAGAGCTCCGTCGAAAAATTATACTATGTGAATTGGTATAATATAATTTAATTTTATTTATTTGTTACTCCCTTAGTTCTAATTTATAGCGAAATTCAAACACTGTCATGTAAATTGGGACAGAGGAAGTATTATTATATATAAAATGTTGAATTTGCTTTAGGTTTATGTCACAATAAGTAAAATTTCAATTATGACATTTTAGTATTTTTCAAATTCATTTATATAAATTTCTAGCTCTGCCACTAGTGAATGCATGTTGCATGTACTCTTTACTTTCAATTCAAACATTTGTGTCGGAAACTCCAAAAATACACTACTTCTGGAGAATCTGACACGTACCCGTTGACATTTTTGAAGAGTCTTAACAACGAGTTGTGTTGTGCTTTTTTTGAATATGTAAAACAAATTTCATCATTTTCTAATGACAATCTTGTTTTCTTTTTTTACAGTGAATCATACAGATATTATGATCTGCCATTCTGCATACCAGGTTCATTCTACAACTTTTCTCTCATTGTATTTATATGGAGCACGTGAATTCAATAGCTTTTGTTGAACCCTGTATATGAATCTTATTAAATAAATATATGACTATGAACTCGGTTCTTATTTTGTATGAACTTAATGTATGTTGTAAGAACTCATAAATTTCAAATCCTGTATCCGCCTATGAGGTTAGACTATAGTTGCGATTCATATCACAAATTTTGATAGATGTATGTTGGAACACTTGAAATCTTATGTTACTTGAGTTCATATGCAGATCATGTGAAATTAGAAGAAAAGAAGGAAGATCTAGGTGAGGTTTTAAACGAGGATCGACTCGTGAGTGGTCCTTATGAACTCGATTTCTTGGTAGATAAAGACTCAGAAATGCTTTGTCGAAAGAAGTTAACAAAGGATGAAGTTGCTCAGTTTCGAAGAGCAGTTGATAAGGACTATTACTTTGAGATGTACTACGATGAATTACCCGTATGGGGCCTTATCGGAAGAGTTGAGAATAGGGAAGAGACAGAGGATACAAAATATTACAAGTACTTTCTATACAAACACATACATTTCGATATCCACTATAACATGGACCGTGTTATTGAAATCACTGCACGAATGGATCCATATTCTGTTTTGGACCTGACAGAGGATAAGGAAGTCGATGCTGAGTTCTCATACACCGCGAAATGGAAGGGAACAGATATTCTGTTTGAGAATCGAATGGATAAGTTCATGCAGACTTCTCTACCGCATATCTTGGAGATCCATTGGTTCTCGATTATCAATTCTTGTGTCACTGTCCTCCTTTTAACCGGCTTCCTTGCCACGATTCTTATGCGAGTCCTTAAGAATGATTTTATTAAGTAAGTGGTTTATCCCTCCTTTTCAAAGAGTCAAAACTCTCTCTATGATACATTTTGGCTGCTACAACGAAATATTGTTACATATAACATATAGTAAAACAATGGTTCCAAAGAAAACTTGTCCGTTATAGTGAAATATGACTGTTATAGAGAAGTCTGACTATATCTGATTTTCTCAAGAAGTGACTCTTTCAATTGACAATGTATGCAAAAGGTATGCACATGATGAAGAAGCAGTTAATGATCAAGAGGAGACGGGATGGAAGTACATACACGGTGATGTCTTTAGGTTCCCGAAACACAAGTCATTGTTTGCTGCAGCACTCGGTTGTGGTGCTCAGCTCTTTACATTGTTAGTGTCCTCTGAAATCTGTTGTTCTGATAAATTAAGTCTAATACAAGAAACATTTGCATTATTGTATATTGTTTATCTTGTACAGGACAATTTTTATATTCTTGATGGCGCTTGTCGGGGTGTTTTATCCTTACAATAGAGGAGCTCTATTCACTGCCCTGCTGGTTATATATGCACTCACTTCTGGCGTTGCCGGATACACATCAACCTCTTTCTATTGCCAGCTTGAAGGAACTAATTGGGTAAGTGCTGTAATATTCTCATAGTTGCTGAGATATTGTCATCTAGACACTAAACTTGTTAGTGTATCATGCCTTTTTGTTATCGTAGCTGATTAAGCATAAACTACTTGCTCGTAAGAGAGCACAAACGACAAGGTTCAAATCCACGGTTGAGATTACTGTTGTGGAACTTGAGACAAGGGGGAACCTAGTATGTTGGCTACGAGTTTAGTAGACCACAGTAACTTTGGTTCAAATCCTGTATTTATCTTGAAAATCCATATGAATATGTATAGAATGCTAATGTAGAATTCATTAACATTTTAGATTAGAATCCAGAACCCATAAACTTCAAATCTTGGATTTGCCTCTAATCGGAAAAGGTCAATATATTGAGCAATGCCTTATCATATGAATAGTTAGAGTCCTTCAATGCAACAAAGAGGGCATATAGTAATGTTGTTAAAGGCTTGTTCAAAAGCGTGATCACCCTCTAATTCTGCTTCGCGCTTAAAGCTCCAACAGAATTTGGTGTTTTTTGCACTTTTCGCTTTTGATTGATCAGCTAACATTTGAAAGTACTCTGCCTTTAACAGGTAAAGAATCTGGTCTGGACCGGGTGTCTCTTCTGTGGTCCTCTCGCGTTAACGTTCTGCTTCCTCAATTCTGTTGCAGTTAGTTATAGTTCTACTGCTGCTCTACCATTCAGTACAATTATGTTAATAGTACTTATATTGACATTAGTGACATCTCCACTGCTCGTATTAGGCGGAATTGCTGCCAAAAATAGCAGAACAGGTTTCCAAGCTCCATGTCGAACCACAAAGTATCCCAGAGAAATTCCAGTACTCCCTTGGTACCGTAGTACCATCCCTCAGATGGCGATGACAGGGTTCTTACCGTTTAGTGCCATCTACGTCGAGCTTTATTACATATTTGAAAGTGTATGGGGTCAAAAAATCTACACAATTTACAGCATGTTGTTTATAGTCTTCGTTCTTCTGCTGATAGTAACCGCATTTGTCACTGTTGCATCGACTTATTTCCAACTAGCCGCGGAAGATCATAAATGGTGGTGGAGGTTTGAACTAAAGCTTCTTTCTTTTTTTTGTTCATGTTTCATATTTTTGGCTTTAGTTAAGTGTCTATAGTTCCATGCTACTTCTCTTGATTGCTAGCTTTCTTAGTTATTCTGAAGTACTTGTTGCTCGGACTCTTCAAAAATGTCAACAGGTGATGTCGGATCCTCCAGAAGTATTACATTTTGGAGGATCAGACACCCTGGTGCAATAACATTTTTGAAAAGTCCGAGCAGTATATAGCTTGCTAAAACAACCAAACAAAGTTCATTTTCAAACTGATCCTAAGATGAGTTCTCCCCCTTCTGGTAGTTATTGGCTAATAGGATCGGAACATGACTATTAACGACTGAATTTTCCCTCGCTAACAGGTCATTTCTCTGTGGTGGATCAACTGGCCTATTTATCTACACCTATTGCTTGTACTACTACGCGAGATCGGGCATGTCTGGATTCATGCAAACCTCGTTTTTCTTCGGATACATGGCTTGCATATGCTATGGTTTCTTCCTCATGCTCGGGACCATTGGTTTCCGCGCATCGTTGCTCTTTGTTCGTCACATTTATCGATCAATCAAGTGTGAGTAAACAACATTATAGACTATAGTAAAGTGTGTATATTTGTGTACTCCAAATTTGGTCACTTATACCTTAGTTTTCTTGTTGTTGTAAAAGATAGTTAGGTTTAAAGAGAGGACTATTTAGGTAGAAATTAAAGTGTCACTATTAGGTCTAAGTATATGGGAAACAAAAGCTTGATGTTAAGGTTGTTGTAAAAGATATATTAATTTACTCTTCCCACTTATTAATTTCGGAAAAATCTTTTATTGATGTGAGACAAAACTATAGCAGAAAAGCACCTTTAAAGCATAAACATTGAAATTTCAAAAATATCTTTAGCATAAAGCACACATCGACGAAGAGCTTTGAAATTCCATAAATTTCCACGCCAACGAAGAGGCGCCTAGTATTGATGGTTTCTAGTACTATCCTTAGTGTTATAGTTTATGTTATCTCATGGTACTTTCGCTTCTTTCGTAGCGATCAGGGCAGAGTTTGGTAGGGTCGAGGGAGTTCATTTGAACACTCTTGACTAAAAAAAATAAATCATTATTTATATATAACAAAAAATATTTTTATGTATATATAGCATTTATTGAGCTCCCTTTGATTTTTTTGTGTGTTAACTTTTACATTTTCTGAATTCCATTAATGAAAATCTTGATTCTGCCATTATTGACAGCTTGGTAAGCAAGCTATCTTAAACATCAGTAAAATCACTATCAATAATAGGCCCGAATAAGCAAGCTGTCTTATAATGGAAGTTGAAGAATTTGTCAATACTTGTTGACCTAATCCAAAAGAAACATTAATTTCACTATAAACGTATTATAGAAGTTTTGAATATAGAACTGGTCTACTACGTTATGAAACCAACACCATTTCAAAATTAATTTTTTAAAATACCTTTATATTTTAATTTATGTTAAATAACCAAAAAAAAAACAACCAAAATATATAAGAATATCAACAACGATAACATATTTATTATAGACTCACAAGTGATGTCTAGAGAGGTTGAGGTGTACACAGATTACACCTTATCTCTGAAAAAGATAGAAAAACTATTTTCGATAGAATCTTGACTTGAGAAAAGATTTGAAAGAAAAGTATTAACTATAAAATATAATATAAATAACCAATGTAAATGAAACAACAATATCGATAAAATCAAAAGGTGAGATAGTCATCCTCTATAAATTAAAACTTTTCACTTTTTTTTCCAAACAAAATACGTTGTATTATTTATATTATATGTTCTTTATAATAATAGTTTGCTATACAGTCAAAAAAATATTATTTATACAAATAATGGCGTTATAGAAGAAACATTTGATTGAATATTTAATTTGTCTAGGGGCACAATAGTCTATTCAAAATTCCAATAATATAAGGTAGATTTTTCTCTACATTTTGACTGGTTCAAAATAATGTTCAATATAGAAGACCAATTAAATAATTACAATAATCTAATTCTTGTTGAAAGAATCCAACAATATAGTCTACATTAATTATTTTTTTCTATATATATATATATATAGAGCTAGAGAGACCATTAAAATAAGCATTCATTGAAATATTTGAGAAATTAAAATGGAGTTTGAGTTACCTCAATATAATTTTAATGAAAAGCCTCCTTCTTCATCAAAATTGCCATTGATTATATTAGTAGCAAGGTTAATTACTATAGTTTGTATTGTGGTTTCTATAATTGTGTTGAGGAGTAATAACGTTACTTTGGATAATGGAGCCAAACTTGAATATGATTATTACAACTCATACAGGTAATTATACTTTCTAATCCTTCTTTTTTTTCTTTCTATTTAATCTTTATAACAGTGATGTTCACATCTCATCGAATACTATACCACAAAAAAGAAACTTGAATTAGTTAGGAATTTCACCGTTTTAACATTTTTTTTTTTATAATATATCGCTAATCAATTGCTAAATAGAATTAGACAGATTTTGTTATTTAATTACAAAATTTGTCACTCACTAATTCCTAAATAATTTTTTTTTCATATTCAAGGTTCGAGCCAAAAAACTCTAATTAAGTGTGAAGTAATCTATTAATTAGTAATTCATTCCAATTCTTACCAAAAAAAGTTCCCAATTATGTCAAACTCATTTTACATTTTTAAAATAGTTACATGAATAGGATCCTCCCCTCTCTGACTAAAATCGATTTTTTAATTTACATTTTTTTTGTGTGTGTGTGTATTCTTGTACAGGTACATGTTTGCTGTAATGATAGCTGGAATTATATACAATACATTGCATATTCCATTTGCAGTATATTATCTCATAGCAAAGAAACATCTTATAAAGCACAAGAGCTTTCACAACTTTCAATTTTATGGTGATAAGGTTAGCAAATTTAATTATTTTTTCTAGTAACATAATTTATTGTATTTTTTGAGTTTATGTTTTATGTACTAAATTAATAATCCAACCTAAAACGAAATTAAATAATCTCATATTCTATCCCAAAATTATTTTTCTTTTATTCTATAAACCAAATGAAATTAAATAATCTCATGTGTGGGGTACGGATAATGGCATGATCACAAAGATCTATCACACACAACCTTATCTTGTATTTCTGCAAGAGATTGTTTTTACAACTTGACGATGTCGTGGCCTTCTGATCACATATTGACAACAACTTTATCAGTTAAGCCACAAGGCGGCCCGGCCCCCTTCAAATTTTGTAACAAAATTATTATTTAATATTGTGTTTTTTTTTTTTAATAAGTGCAGATTGCATTTGGCATAATAGCAACAGCAGCTGGGGCATCACTAGGTGCAACTGTGGATTTACAAAAAGTTGTTTATACAGAAAATAACTCAAAAATTGATTACTTTTTGGGATTAATGTATATTCCAAATGCATTTCTTGTTGCTGCATTTGTGAGCTCTGGAATTTCTTCTGTCCTATCATCTTTGAGTCTCCAAAAGAGTGAATGATTATATTCTGTAATTATATATAATTCTATGTTTAAGAAATTTAAAAAATTATTATGGTGCAACTTTTTATGATTAATGTATGTGTGATTTACTTTAATGTGTTGTGTTGATCATACCTAAATTTCTTGGTTGACTAGTGATATGAGTTTCCATTTTTTGATATAATTAACGTTCTGATGTTCAAACCTTACTGGCTCGATTACATGTTGTTAGAAGAAAAACAACATAGAAATAAAGCTCTGAGACGTGAAATATCACCATTTTTAATTTCAAGAGTTATTATTTGTATATTCTTTAAGGGATGACAAACAACTCTCTATCAGGATACAACAAAATATGAAACATATATCTAATTGAATTCACTACTTCTGGAAATGCTTCGTATTTATAGATTTGAGAAGGAGACTTTTCATGAAGAGTCACTCCTTTTCTAATCTTTGATGAAAGAAGCCACAAATTTAGGTAGAAAGAACAACAAGTGTCCGAGAGAGAGAGATGACTTCTGTTGAACTCTTCCTTACATGAAGGGAATGAATATAATGGTGTTTCTTATCTGAACAAACAAAGCTTTTTGTTTAATTAAAATTTATATATTAAATTCAAATTTTAAATAAACAAATTGTTCAAATAAATTACGAAAATAAATCTCTAAATTTAGTTTCCAAGCACAAGTTTAAGTCATTTAGTACCTTTTTAAAACTTTTATATATTATTTTACATAAAAATTGTTTAAAGCCAAAATTAAATAACAAAAAATAATCTTTAATTTGTACATAGGACATTTGTCCTAATTTGAATCAGTCTTCTTTCAACATATCACATAAAACGGATCAAGATTATATAAACACAACCATTAATTTTTTTTAATCATTTGCTAATGAAGAAGATACTTTTCATGTGAAAAGATTAAAAATAATTTTAAAAAAAATGGTTGAATATGATTATGATGAAAAGCCTTCTTCTTCATTTTCATCATCAGATAAAATTCCATTAATTGTAGTAATTGCTAGGGTTGTAACCTTAGCTTCTTTGTTGATTTCATCACTTGTGATGTATAATAATGAAGTTCCTTATATGAATACTCAGATTGACTACCACCTTTTTGAAACATTCAGGTAAATAATTAATCTCCCTTTCTCTATACTTGATCGATACAAATTTGAATTAGTCAGATCAGTAATTCTAATTAATACCTCATTTAGAAGAGATCTCTAACTACATTTTGGTTCTAATCCATAAAATCATTTGCATGGTAAAAATATTTATATAGTGATGACAATTTATCAATTTCATTGAATATAATGTCCTTTTAATGATGATCATAATATTATAACAACCATCTATATTTACATTTATAGATATATGATATTTGTAGTGTATAAAAGAATTGGTGTAACATAGCTCTTTGATTAAGAATTCATCATTTTTGAAGTTCATAAAGTGGTATCCTACTATATACACTTAATTTTTTGTTGATTATTATTTTAATTATTTTCATTTCCTTTATGTTAATTTATTATGTGATATGATTAAAATTGTTTTTAGCACATTAAACAATATTATTCATATTGTAATTAATAGTTACAAAATTCAAATTGTGCAATATAATCAACTTAATTGTGTATTTATTTTATAAATGTTTTCTTTATATAAAATTTTAACTCCTGATTAACTTATCATCAAGCATTGATAAATTCATTAAAAATTGCTAAGATGAAGATTTTTTTTTTTAAAGGAGGATCAATAATATTTTCACTTATAATTTTTTATTTTTTTTCCAGATTCGTATTTGGTATAATGATAATGGGGATTTGCTACACTGTATTGCTACTTCCATTTGCAGCATATTACATGATAGCAAAGAAACAACTCATAGATCACCACATGTTTCACTTGGTTCAACTTATTGCTGACAAGGTAAACTATAGTTTATTTTATTTTTTAAAATAATAATCTTTTTTTATTACATTAGGTGTAGGGAAGAGAAAATGAGAAACTGAATCGTAATAACAAATTAACTAAGCTACTAAGATCCCAAACTTAAATTTGGTACTTCACTCATTTTCCCTTTTCTCTTTTCAATTATATATACGGTTGGAGCAACTGTTCGGTTTAAGGGGTTCAATAAAATTTAGTAATTTTGATTATGATTTTGTATTTGTGGGAGAGTTCATGAAGGAAAATATTTTTTTCAAAAAATAAATAAGTTTCTTACGGTAAGTAAACAAAAGTTATTATCATAAAATCATTTGTACATAATCAAGACAGATATTATGGGATGTGAGGGTGAGGTGGTGGGGATGGAGGTTATGGGGATAGGCCCGACGAAGCCAACTAGGATTGAGGGAGTTTATTTGAACCTTTCCGGCGAAAAATACATTGTTTATACTACTAATTTTTTTTAATCATATAGTAGATGTTGATCCCTTTCAAATTGTTCGTGTGTTTACTTCTTCATATTTTGAACCCGCTTAGTTAAAATTTGACTTTGCCGCTGAGGGTAGGGGTGAAGATGTGGTTCACTTAAGGGCGGTGAGGATACAATCAATGTCGAATGCTATTTGTAGAATTTGGTTTCCCTACATCAACTAGGAAAGTTATTTACAAGGTACTTCTTTCTCTACAAAAAATATTTATGATTTTTTTTGACTAATCAAACATGAGAACTACAACAACAATAATATACTCAGCAGAATCCTATGTAGTAAAGTGTGGGCAAGTTCAGTTTACACAGATCTTACTCCTATATACCTTGGAGGTAGAGATCAGATTATTTCTTATAAATCTCCGACTAATAAAATATGGAGAAATTGAAAAATATTTTCTTCTATATCAAATTATCAAAAATTTCTAACTCCGCCTCTAATGATATGTAGATCGTGTTTGGACTATTGGCAACTGCAGCTGGAGCATCACTTGGTGTAACTGTGGAATTTCAAAAGAGCACATTCTTAGATGGCACCTCAGGTGCAAAGATGCATAGCTATTTTACCCTAATGTATGTCCCTAATGCATTTTTTGTAGTTGGACTTGTTGGTTCTCTAATTTCTACAATATTATCATCTCTAAACTTCAACAAGAGTGAATGATCATCAACGGGGCGTACACCGAATTTTTCATATGCAGTGTCGATATTTATATTAGAAGAGAACTTTTGACTTTGAAGAGGAAAATAAGGCACTTAATCAATGTGTCAAGTGTCAAACATTGTCAGGCGGTGTCACGTCTTTTCTTCTCTATCAATTCTGCACGTGTAAACTTTTTTGATAAAGTAATTGTCACGTGATAACGCTTCGTCCAAGTTAGTAGATGCTTTGAAAAATTGGGGGTGTGTATGTTCTATTTTTGTTGTGGGGATATCTTCTTAACTTAGGTTGACTAGTGAAATTAGTGTAGTCATTTTTGTGGAGAATATATCAACTCAGCTTAATTTTTGATTTTAGCTTATGTCTCAATTTACGTGAATATGTTTGATTGGGTACAAAGTTTAAAAGGAAAGAAAAAACTTTTAAAACTTAAAGTTTAAAATAAGTCATCAAAAATTCTTTGACTATAAAATTATTTCACTAAGAGGATAATGAATAACTTGAAGTCAAATTATTACTAAATATAAATAATGTCATTCCTTTTTAATTTGATTAAAAAGAAATAGTAATAAATAAATCAAAACGAGGGATTCCTTTTTAATTTGATTAAAAAGAAAATAGTATTAAAAGGGAAATATTATTTTGATTTTTAATTGAGATCATATCCTTAAAAATCTCACATGCAATATATGTCTTAGATCCTCACGGGCTTTGTTATGGTTATGGGCCTCATTGTTTTAGCGATGCCCATATTACGTATTGTTTGCTTTGACCCAATAGTCCTTACTGAAATGTCTTTTGATTCCGCCATTTATCGAGCCAAAAGTGAACATATCATCATGTGAATTTATGATGCGTCTTATATAATATTGGACAAATTACTTAACTACACTCCTTTACTTACCTTAATATCCATTTATCCCTAAAAAATTTCAAAAATCCCTTATTTACCTAATTATCCCGCATGTATCCCGTGCACAACGCTATGTATCCCACTATGTGGAATGTATCAAGCCTAATGTATCCCGTGCACAACGTTATGTATCCCGCTATGTGGAATGTATCAAACGCTATGTATCTCATGCACAACGCTATGTATCCCACTATGTGGAATGTATCAAGCCTAATGTATCCCGTGCACAACGTTATGTATCCCGCTATGTGGAATGTATCAAACGCTATGTATCTCATGCACAACGCTATGTATCCCACTATGTGGAATGTATCAAACCTAATGTATCCCGTGCACAACGTTATGTATCCCGCAAACATCATTTTTAAGGGATTTTTGGTAAATAGAAAACTAGAAGGGATAGGATGTTATTTAGTACGTGGTTCCTATAATTTATACTATAATATTTCACTCTTCTTTCCCTTTTTGATGTGAGATTATTCGTGTAAGGTTTCATATGTATCGCTTATATCGAGTACTACCTCAAAATCCGCACGATTGCCTTGGGTTTGCCATATCCTCAATTCGTCATTAAAATTCTAGTTGACATTTTTAAAACCACATGATTATAGAGTATTTTGATACTCGCTTTGTTTAATAATAATTGTTCACTATATACTAAATATAGTTGTCCAATAATACTTGTCCAATTTAGAAAATTAATTTAATTTCCTTTTGTGTCTATTATTTTGTCCTTACTATTAAATACTATTTATCATCTAACACATTTCTCAAAGCATTAAATTTAATAAAGTCAAAGGATAATATAATACTCCCTCCGTCCCATTTTAAATAAATAAGGGTAGAAGGGTAGAAGAGTAGAAGGGTAAAGTTACATCATTTCTTAATGCAAGTGCAAAGTAAAAATGTGACATATAAAATGGGACGGAGGGAGTAATATTACCCTTATAATTTGTTGTTTCTTAAGGGATGTGTGAAATCAATAATCAACAATTATTGTTGGACAGAGGAAATATACTTTTAATTTAAAACCACATTTTTTTACTTCCTTAAA